TACATTTGATTAGCAAAATAAATGATCATTTTGTAGATAGTAAATAAGACCTTTTATTTGCATATCTTGTGTTTTCTTTTTAAATGATGCATGAGGATCTTTATTTGTCTTTTGTAATGTAGCAGAATATATATATCTATAGAACTAGTGCATTATGTAATCCTTAAATGCATGAAACAATATTTTTTTATCTAAAAAAGAAATGAGTTAATTTTAATCTTACAAAAAAAAAAATTTTTACCAATAAAAAATTTTTATTATAAAGTAAGAAATTTTTAATATTTTTATTAAGTGTTTCAAATCAGTGTAAATTTTGGTCACAAGAAGTATGTTAGCAAAAGTTTTATTTGAATCCAAATTGCCATTAATGCATATTTTTAAATTTAAGCTAGTTTTTTCTAATGAACTAATCTAACTTAAAACCTTAATTAAAATAGCATGTTCCATTTGCCTTGAAGTTTTGTAAAAATTGCCCTAATGGATTGCCTTAGTAAATCCTGATTTATTATCTTTCATGAATCTGGTTTTTATGACAATATGAAATGCAATGATTAGCATATATGAATAACCTAATAATAATAATAATTAAAATTAATTGTATACTAAATCAATGTTTGCAAATAATAGTTGAGTAATTATTATTTTACTAGGCAGTATTTTTTGGTATATAAGTTCTCTACTAGCTTGATTCATGTTTTGTATATAAGACTATGAACAATCAAACCCTACAGCTAAAGCAGTTTTTTCTTCTAATATTGCATATTCAATACACTTTTTTAGAACCTATTTTATATTAGAGTTTATGGCAGTTACAAGGGGTATAAAATACATTTTTTGATAATAAAAGTATGTATTTTTATTTATTTAATTTGTAATTTCCATTATTTCTAATGAACTTTGTATAGCATTGTGAGATATTCCTCTGGCAAATCCTGTAACAGCTATGGCTTTTAATAGTTGAAAATCTTGTATCTTATTCACATACTTGAAAATGGTATTACATTTATTACATTCTAATATGCTTTTAATCTGAAATCTGACTGACATTATGTTTAAAGTCTTATTTGTAAGTCTGTTGTTATTACAATTACAACAAGGTTGCATAAGCACTAATGAAAGATATTGTTTTTTAAAGATTAATATAGTGAAGCCAAGTTGGGCAGATTTTATTGTATTATCAATTTATAATTTTAGCAAATCTTCTTCAAGATCCATAGTTGCATTTTCTAAATTAGTTCCTAGTTGTTCTATTTGCCTTTTAAGATAAACTATTTCCTATTTTAGGCTAGTAACTTTTGTTTTACTTTTTTTAAATTCTAACATCAATGCTTAAATGCTTTTTAAAGATAAAGTTTTGTCTTCTTTTTCTAGCAATATATTATATTTAACTGGAATACTTGTTGCTTTTTTTGATATTTTTTCAATTTGATCATCTATTTCATTAGCTTTTTTTCAAATTAGCATACAATAGGGTTTTAACTTTTATTATATTTTCTATTTTTTGGTTATTCTCAAAGAAATTCAAATAATGTTTTGATACTATTCTTTGTAAATAGTTAACATTTTTAGCTTTTAAGAATCCAAGCAAATAAAATAAAAAGTATTTGTTGCTTAGATCATATTGTGCCATTATAGCTTTAAAAAGACAATAATCAAAACCAGTTTTTGATAGATACTAAAAATCAGAATCATCATTATAAATATATCACTGAAATTTGAGATGATTACTTTCTTTTAGAACACAAAATTTGAAAATTTTTTTTGCTATCTAAAAGAAAACTAAATATTCAGACAATAAAAAAATCCATCTGTCTTTTCTATCTTTAATTTTATAATAGTAATACCCAGTAAGCAAAGGAATGTTATCTTTAAGTAAGACTACTTAGAACTGTTCGTATAGAGATAAAACTTCTAATTCTAAATCAATTTCTCTAATATTGCATATATTTCTTGAATTTGCTATCTGAATTTTTTTTCTTGCTATTAGAGCAACATATTTTTTATACTACTTACTCATTTTAGATTTTTATTAAAGTTTTTTAAATATAGACTCTTTAGTTTGCAGTTGCAAAGATGCAAGATTAGATTAAAGATGATAATATATATTCAATACATGTTTAATAATAATAATAATATATGAAATAGTATGTATGATAATTAGATATATACATTTTAAAAAGATAATAATTAGACAAGATACAGAATTGCTTTGATTTGAATATTTTGCATTAATTGAATTTATTTTTTAGTAAATAAATTCTGAGAAAACTTTAACAAAATAAAAAGTCAGAAATTTAAATATATGTTAAAATCTTTGTAGCTAATAACTAATGCATTAAATAAATTTCTTTTTATATACTCCGAATATAACTCTGAACTATGACTAAAGAAAACATAAACTGCAAGTCATTAAGAATACAAAATGAATTCTTTTCTTTTATTTTCAGAAAAACTTTACAACTACAAATTTATTAATGCAATTAAAGAAATTTCCTTTTTTTATCTTTAGAAAATTTTGTCTTAGAATCCTAAGACACTTTTCATTACAAATTTATTAATACTATTGAAAAATTTCCTTTTACTATTAACATATTCTCAACACAAATAATTTACAGCATTTTTATGAATAGTGAACAGGTTCGTACAAACATTTTTCATCTAATAGCAATATGTCTCTCAAAAAATATTTACTCTATTTATGCTAGAATTAGAAATAATAGTAATTAATATTATGCTAGAATTAGAAATAAACAATAATAAATATTATGCTATATAGAATAGAAATTAATATATAATATACTAAAAATATTAATGTGGATCTGTCAATTACTATTTTCTTATTGTGTAACAATTCAAATTTTACATAACATGAATAAAGATAAAGGAGTTTATATTAATTGCATATATCAATATGAGCAAATTTATAATCTTTTGATGAAAATAGCTGAGTACTACTGTTTTTTACAATAGCATTTTTTGGTTGATTTACTTTTTTTACTTAATTTTTCTAGAAATTAATATAGGTAAAACATTTTAGCTGACTGCTTGCTAGACCTATGCTCAACAGTCTAAGTTTGATCAATTCAATAAATAATATATTTGGATATAAATCTAATTTATCTAATTAAATTTCTGAATATATAAATAGTTATTAATTTAATTCAATAAATATTTGATGAATATTACCAAATTTGTGAAATAATATAAGGCAATATTAGAAGTTATAACATTAAGAGAATACTATAGTTAGAGATGTTACTAAGACTGTCCTAAAAGTATTATAGTATACTTTTGGTAAATCTATTATGTGAAAAATATAAATTTAGAAGTTTAAAATGTTAAATGTCACCAAAAGTCAAAATAGTAAAAACTTAACAGAATAAAAATATTTATTAATGTATTTTAGTATTTAAATAAATTAAGTAGTTCATTTTCACTAATTCTAAGTAACTTAAAGTAAGTGGAAAATAAAAAACTTCATGTAGTGATTAACTCTTGTGCTGAGTCTAATTATAAATTTTTTTATGATAGTAATCCTGGCACAGTTTATGATAGGCAACTTAATGATTATTTCAAAAATTTTAAGTGATAATAATCATTTAGCAAATCACTATATTTACTAATGATTTTAGTTGTATATCTAAAATTTATGAAAATAATCAACATTTTGGCTTACAGCATATTTTAACTTTCATTACACTTTCGATTTTGAAGACACTTCTAACTTTAGTTTTGTATTCTTTTACATGATAAATTTATAAGTATTTTGGTATGCCAAAACATCAACCTTAAATGTTACTTGAATGATATAACCAGATATTCAGTAATTCTAACACTAATATCCAAATATTTAGTAGATTTTTTAACAGATACTAGTGTATATCCATCACTTACGCTAATGGTATAAAAACTTTTTAAAAAAACAATATAGTTTAATCAACAAATTTTAAATTGCTAATGTTTGGATATCTAATATCTTTTAAATAATAATACTCATTATCATTCTTTTTGCTATTCAATTTAATAATATTGATATATCAAAAAAGCACAAAGTGGTTAATGCTCCTAAAATTTAATGTTTTACACGATTTTAATTAATTAGTAATATAACTAATCTTGTAGTTAATTTGTTAGATATTTAATGTTATTTATTAAAAATCATGAAAAAAAAAGTTATTTAAACCTATCACATAAAGCAATTCTACAAATAACAGTTTTTTTAATTTGAATAATTATGTAGGTATCTAATATACTTTAATGGCATTATAAATTAGATATTTAGTACTTCGTGTACTATAGAATTGTTAATAGGTTGAATTAGAGTGGATTAGGTTAAGCTATTCCTCAACCCACTCCAACTTAGGTTGAGTTCACTCTGAAGCCACTTCAGATTTGCTTATACCTGCTCTAGTTTACTCCAGTTTTACTTCAGCATATTTTTAACCCACTCCAACTTGGGTTGGGCTCACTTTGGAGCTGCTCTGGAGTATGTCAATCATTAACAACCCTAGTGTACTATATGATAAATGATAACCTTTAATTTTATAATAAAATTTATTGTCATGTGTTAGTATTTATAATGCTTTATATAATAAGTGTATTGTATGATAATAGTAAAATGCAACATCATATAACGCAATTAGTGTAATTATTATATTAGACAAAATAGTTCAAATTATACTTGTGCAAAATAGTCATAATGATATTTTTTTAAAGATTTCGCTTTGACATAGAAAAAAAATCAATAAAGTTATATTAATAAAATATCTTCAAAATTAACTTTTACAAAACAGTTAAGAATACTTGACCTTGAATATAATGCCTTCTAAGCTTTATTATAAATATTAGAAGTCAGATTAAAATTAGTTTAGTTAACTACAATAATTAATTAACTAAGCAAAATAGTTGACTAAACTAATTTCAATAATAAAAATTTGAATTAAGATATTTAAATTAATTAAGCAGAGTGATTCTAAGACATATTCACTTATAGAAACACATTATTGAAAAATCTCAGGATATACAATATTAAATGTAAATCTAGTCTGCCCGATGGCCTCTTTGTCTTGTTCAATAGCAAGAACTTTTAAGTTTTTTCATGAAGTCAATCTTGAACAGGCAACATATAGTTGGTCATGAGTGAACACTGGTGTTAGGAAATACAAACCTACAAAGTTTAAAGTCTGCCTTTGTGATTTGTTAATAGTTATGGCAAATGCTAGATGTACTAGAAATTGATGACACTTGAGTACAAAAGGCAAATCAGAGTTTGAAGGTGACATAGTAATATAGGGAAGAAAAACATGTTTTCCAAAATGTTTTTCAGTGATAATTTTTGCTTTAATGACATGTTTCTGAAAATTGCAACAAATTAATCTTGTCCTATTATATAGACCATTAGGGGGATGAATGTTCCATAGTAATATAATTAGAGTTCCTAACTTTAGTATTAATTTATAAGAGGAAAGACCTCCAAAATTCAAAGAATTAAGAAACTCAATTGGATATTGATAGTTAGTTTCTCTTTGTTCCACAATTGAATCTGCACTGAGATACTCTATTGCTTCTTTGGGGAATTGAGTCATTACAGTAGAATTGATAATGCTAATGTCATTATTCTTAGAAGCAAATATTGAATGTTCAACCATGTATTGATAATCAAGACAGTTAGAAAGGTTAGGATATATATAATGAATCATATCATTTAACTCTTGAGATCTTAAAACAATATATTCAGGCAATTTAATAGTATTTGCCTTTGAGTTAGTGACAAAAGGCATATGCTCTTCTCCAATTTTAAGTAATTATTGGGCAAAATCGTCTTGTTTAGCAATATCTAAGATGCTTACTGCATGAAGAAGACATATGTTAATCTTTAACTTCATCACTTTTACATGTTTCTAAAAAGCTAACTATCATATAGTAGCACCTACAATGTCTGATCTTATTCCCTTATTTACTACAGAAAGAATTTGCCAGAAGTCACCTCCTAATAGCACAACTTTACCTCCAAAGGGTTTACTTTCTAGAGTTGGGTCTATAGTCTTCATAAGATCCTTTAAAGTTTAGTCTACAGCTTCAAATGCATATCGATGCATCATTGGTGCCTCATCCCAAACAATAAAAAAAGTTTTTTGTAGAAGCAATGCTAACTCTAAACCATAAGACACTGTGCATGTAGAATCTTCATGAACATTAATAGGAATTTTAAAACAGGAATGTGCTGTTCGACCACCTGGTAGAAGTAAAGCTGCCATACCCGAGGAAGCTATTGTAAGAGCAATATATTTACTCACATAAATTTTTGCAAGTAAAATATTATAAGGCTATTAAGATACATAATATGTCAAGTATAATTTGGATTCAAATTTAGAAATAAAATTTCAATAGAGAAATTCAATTATCTAAAATTGTATTCAACCTCAAAAAAAAAAATAAAAATAAAAATAAATCAATTAATGAAAGAAAAGATTTCTTACTTGTATAGAAAAGTTTTTCTCAATCCACCTGGACCATCAACAAACATTATAGCAGAAGCATGAGTTTCTATTGCTTTTACTATACTTTCAAATATGGCATACTGATCTACATTTAATTGGGGAAGTCCATTATTAATTATTTGAGTAAGTTCTTCAATATCATAGTTTTCCTTATCTTTTATTAAGGTGTTATTTAACTCATATTCAAAAAACATAGTTGGGGTTGGCATGTTTGGAAAATCCTTAAGACACTTTTCATGCTTACTCAGAATTAATTGCAGATGATTAAGGGCTCAATTATATTTATCAGCTTCAACTAAGTCAAAAGACATATTTTCAGTATTACTATGAACCTGACATTGAATATCATTACTAAATACAAGAACATGTTTTTTCCAAAGTAACTCAGGTTTTGATGATCTACAGAACAAAAGAAGGGTGGCAAATAAATAACGTAATTGTGCTCCTGATTGCATTTGCACAGCTTCTGCTAAGCATTCATCCAATTCTTTGTCATCTTGTAATAGACCTAAGGCAATGCAAGCTTCCTTGAAAGAGTTATATATGACTCCATCCACAGTGCGAAGGTTCTCAAACGATGTTGTACCACAAACTATATTAAGCAACAATTACAAATAATATAATTCATCTGCTGCTAGATGTATAATATATATATGTCTAATAACATTTTCTTATTGCCTTGGCTTCCATTTTTTAGTCTGCTTTTTATAAACTTACTGGAATGGAAAGCTTCCATATATAAGTCTTTTTGCCTCTGGATATACTGCATTTGCCTCAAACCACATTATAAGCATGGTCTTTCCTGAATTTGAGCATTCAATAACAACTTCTAAATGCTCATCATCCCAAAATGTTATCATATACTCTCCAGGAAGGTAAACTTGGAGTTGTATTATACCTGAACTTCTATCATGCAATCGATAGTGAAACAACCTCCAAAAAGCTTCAGACACTAAAACATATCGAGCATCAAGATAAAGACATATTTCATCAACATTCTTTACCTGATCTTGCTTTTTTATACTTCTACTTACCTCCATAGTAGCATGATCATGCCTCTTGTAGACATATTTAAATAAATATTTCACTGCAATAATTGAAAAACAAATTTCTATATTTATATGACAATCATATTTAGTACTAAGATATAGGTTATATGGTACCACCTAACAGTTATCTAATTCTACTCTATGTACTTTAACTGTTTGACCATTTTCTCTCTACCTATAAATTGAATAACTATTTTCGTTATTAATAGTACTTTCTTGAAAGCATTTTGGATATTCTTTAGTGCATCTATCATCTTTCATGCAAGGTGCATTTGAGCCAAGTATACTGCATAGACCATGCATTATCGATTGTTGAATTGTGTCAAATGTCATAGAATCATGATCTTTATTAGAAATCTTAGCATATACAATGGCATTATATTCATCAGCTGTCTGAGGCTTATATTCTGAGATAAGAATAAAAAGCATATGTGCATGTGGTAATTCATGCTTCTGAAACTCTATTGTATAAAGATAGGCATTCACACTTCCAAAAATATGTTTTTTTACAATATTATAAAGTATTGCCTTTAACTTTATATTAAAAACTCGAGTAATTAGATCAGGCCTGTCTTGTGCAGATTGACCTGAAAGAAGTGCATTAGTGATTTTAGGCCAATTCAGATTGCATGTTACTGTAATGAATAGATCAGGCTTGCCAATTTGTTATATGATAGCTATACTATCTTGATAAAGCTTTTGCATTTGTCGAGGTCCACCCACAAAACTTGATAATAGAATAATCCGTTTACCTATATTAGCTATTTCAACTGTACTATCTATATTTTTTAAAAATCAAAATATTATGAGTTAGAAATAAAAAAATAAAACACTGGTAAAAGTAAAAGGATATCTAAATCATTACTAAGTTATAACCTTTCTTCCAAATAAATAAATAAATAAATTAATTAATAATAATAATAATAATAATTAGAAAAGAAATTTGCTATTTTTATTAGAGAATGGTGATCCTAGTGTAGTGGTTGGATTGTTATTCTCCAAGTGGCAGGTCTAAGGTTCAAATCCCACCTATGACGAAATTTGGAAATTAATCTGTGTTATGGCAAACTGTCTTTTGATGATTGGTTGGATTTGTGTATCTGTAACCTTAAGTCGCACCATCTCGAATGGGAGCTCGGGGCATCTATGCCAAGTGTAATGT